AGGTTTGGAGTGGGCAGAAGTGAGTGGCCCGGGTGAGGGACTCCGGCTGGGACCAGATCTGCCTCCCGCCCCCCCAGCGCAAGAGAAAAAGAAGTCACTATCCTGTCCTTAGCAGGCAGATCCCAGTGTTCGGATCTAGAAAGCAAACCTGGAAATCAATTTGGGTACAAATAAAGATCAACATGGGAGTTAGAAGGGCCTGCATGCAATCACAGGTGGCTGCTTTACATTGCATGAGCCTCGGTGTATGGTGATGTGCAGATTTAAAGCTGCAGTTTCTGTGTTTTAAATGACCTGCAAGAGATCAGCTTTGCAGCTGGTTTGCTGGCGCTGACAATTCCTGGGTCATCCGGAAAGTCCAGTCCTCCTGGGCCTCTGGCCACGTGGGGAATCGGGGCTGAGGTGCTGCTTAGGAGGACTCTGGGGAAGCGGAGGCCAGATGGACACTGAGGCGGAGGCTGCCCGTCCTGTGTCCTGCTCTTTCCCACTTTCTCTCTGAGTATGTGGAAACCATTCAGGCACTGCTCCTCCTAGGGCACAGGGCCAGGAACCACTCCCTGAACCTCTGCGGTTAGGGTTACGGAAAGCCACATCTGATTCTACAGGGCTGTTATAAAGATCATTCTCTGATTTTCTTCCTCCTAAAATAGCTGTTTCCATGGTTACACTCACTTATCAGGAGGCCTTAGAGGAAATGCATTTTGGATAACAGTAGAGACAATGTTTTAATTTTCACAGTCAGAACGGAGGAACTTATGGGATGCTGTCTTTCGCTTGAGGCTTTGAGACCCCTCAAAGTCGTCCAGAAAGCACAGTGCCCAGACTCGGCCTTCTGGGCATCCTGCCCTGCTGGACCTCAGTCCTGGTCGGGGAGCTGGGAGCCCCAGAGCCGTCATGGCCATCAGGGGCACTAGGGGACTCCAGCTGGGCCCTGAACTAGGATGCAAGAAATGGAGGCAGGGAGAGAGCAGACGAGGAAAGACTGATTTAAGAACTGTACCTTAAAGAAAGACAGCTTCAGGAGCAAAGTCTGCCAGGTCACACAGATTCCTGAGGTCTCAGACACAGCAGCCCGGCCGTGTTCCATCTGTGAACTGTGCTTCCACCCCCAGCAGGACCAGCGCAGACCAGGTAAGGGTTCGCTGAAACCGCCAGCTGGAGGCTGGACAAAGAAGCGCCCAGGCTGGGCCACCGTCCCGAGGACACCCCAAGTCCACTGAGGCCGCCCGTCTGTGCTGTACCCTCCCTCTGCTGTGCGCTTTCCATCTGAGTCCCAACCTCTTCTGCTGCCCCTGCCGCGCCCTCAGGAGCAGGGAGGCTGCGGCCTGGCCCTTGGACGTGGTCTGGTGACGTCCTTGTGCTGCCCGCTCCTGCATCCCTGGGACACTGCCTGCAGGACACAGACTGGACCAGCGGGGGTGCAGGTGGGTGTAGGGCCGGAATGTCAGGGGGAGCTTGGTACTGCCCCCAAATGGCCCGGGAGAACCCCCTCCCCAGGCAGCAGGGCCGAGCTCCCTCCTGTCTGAGGAAGTGCATGCCTCAGGTGTGAAAAAGCCTCATGAACACACTGGGGACCTGGCCTGCCCCTGGGGAGAGGCCGCGGACCTGCAAAGAGGTGGAAGGACCCGCGGAGCCTGCAGGATGCCCCAGGCTGGCCCTGCCCCTGGGCCTCGCTCACCCTGCCTGGATCCCGCTGCCCTCTGGCCACCTTGCTTCTTAGAGCTGGGGTGTCGTTCATGGAGCACCCAACTCCCCACAACTGAGGCATGCAGTTCAGGGTCTCACATGGTCCCCGGGCTGTGTGACCATCACTGACCCCTCCCCCAGAGACATCACTCTGAGCCCTCTGCCCAACCCTGGAAGCCACGTGTAACCTCTGACTCTGCTATCCACCTTTCAGGATGTTTCCTAAGAATGGAGTCACTCACATGTGGCCTTTGCACCTGGTTCCAAGCCTATCGATGGTGCAGCCTGGGTCACGGGCCGTCTCTTTTCACTGCTGTATAGTATTCCACAACGTGCACCACATCATCATCATCATCATCATCATCATCATTATTTTGGCTTAGCCCTAGCAGAATTTTGTCATCACCAAGAACTCTTGTCCCCAGAGAAGCGCAACAGTCCACCTCAGAGGAGGTGACAGAACAGGTCCAGCACTGTCCCTTCCTAGCAAGCCTGCAGGTCCAAGAGGCAGCACTGCTGAAACGTGGCGGTGCCCTAGAGTGGCCACAGGACATAGGTCTGACCTCTCTGGAGCAACTTGGAGGCAGGGAAGAGGAGAGGATACATGGGACCCTGGCATCTGCCTGGGAAGGGCTGGGGCTGTAGAGCTGGAGTCTGGGGTCCGCGGCTCAGATCAACCACGAGATGCAGGTGACATTCGGGTCCACACAAGCCGCAAGGGGCACCACGGTTGGAGTGGAGCTGAAACCCGCTCTGCTGCTGACACCACAGCACAGAGCCTTCCTGTAGCACCGTGCTGCCAGGACAACAGAGCACAGTACCCAGGACTGTGCACAGCACTTAGTACTTGAAACCGGTAACAAATGACTGTGCCCCCGGATGTGTTTCCTGCAGCAGACGGCACTGTCATCTCAGGGTGCACACCTTCCACGTGTGGCCGGGACAGTGCCTGTGTGGACGCCTGCAGCCGCGTCCCCTCCCATGGGCCCTGCCAGCCCTGTGACACGCAGGATCGGAGCCCCAGGACACCGGTCCCCCAGTCCATTCCATGCAAAGCGGTGGTCACGGGAGGGTGCAGCTCTGTCCGCCTGACACCCTCTCAGTGCCTAGGGTGCTCTCGGGCCTGCACGGGGCCAGCAAGCTCCCTGCAACCCCAGATCTGACACAGAGGACAAGTGAGACCACTGTGGGGGCCAGGGCCGTGGGCCAGCGACTGGGGTAGGACGGGCGACACTGAGGAGGCCCCGTGGCTCTGAGTTCCGGGCTCCGCCGGTGGGGGGACGAGAGCTGGAGCAGAGACTGGGGGACAAACGAGCACATGGCTGTGGGCTGGGCCACTCCAGGGCTCTGGACACGATTCTGCCCACAGCCGCCATCATGCGCCTGAGCCTCACATGGTCGGTGGAGCAGGAGCCCAGGCTCCAAGCAGCTGCCTCTGTCAAACTCGCACCACTGGTTTTAAAGAGGTCTGCTCTGCAGTTCTGGCTCCTCTGAGCCATTACCCCATGGCTGTGTGAAGCCAGCGTGACTTGTCTGTCCTTGTGTAAGGGACAGGTCTCTCACATGACACGGAGCCTCGCTCTGGCACCCAGGCCAGTCTTTGTTTAGGAAGCAGAGTGACAAAACGTCCGCTGGCCACCGAGGCTGCGGGATGTGATGTGGTGGCCGGCCCTGGGGAGTCCCCAGGGGCCCCCACCTCCCACACCGCGCTGACCCTTGTCATTGAGTTGGGCACAGTGGTCCAGCGGATGCTGGGTGACGGCAAGGGGACACGCGTCCATGCCGGGAGGCCTGGTGCCCTGGGTCTTCTCACGGCCTCCAGGGAAGCACGGCTGACCCACAAAGGCGTCCGAAGACCCACTACGTGGCAGGGAATGAGGAATGGCAGGCTCTTCGTCCTCCTCTTCCTCCCCCGCCTCCCTGCCCCTCCTCCTCCCCCCTCTTCTTCTTCCTCCTCCTCCTCCCCTTCCGTCTTCCTTCTCCGCTGCACTGTGCACCCTGTGGCCCTGTGTGGCTGTCCTTGTTCCCACTGTACTGGGCTGGGCCGGGTCCTGGAGCAGCTGGGCCAGGGTGTTGGGTTAGGGGTAGGGAGCTCTTGGGGTCCAGCCCCTCTTCCCAGCAGGTGCCACCTCCTGGTCCCAAAGCCGTGGCTGAAGCTGGGTGCCTCCCTTCACAGGGACACCACTCAGAGGGCTCAGTCCTGCCCTGGCCATGCCTGTCTTCACGCAGCCACCCCTCCGCCCGGCGTCCCTGCTTCTTAGGCCAGTGAGTGGCACCTGACACACCCAGGTCCCTGGAAGCCACCTCCCCAAGCCACTCTGCCTGGCCCTCCCTGCAGCCCCATCCCTGTGTCCCCACGACACCCAGGGCCAGCTCCTCCCTCTCCAGACCTGGCCTACTGGGCTCTGCTGGGCTGCCTGGTGCCGTCACAGAGGGTCGATGCTCCATCACTGTGCCCTTCCGAGAGCTGAGTCACCCTCTCTCTCCAGAGGCTGGGTGCGAATCCTGCCAGTCCCCAGGCTGTGCTCACAGATGTCCAGTGAGCGGGACCCTCAGAGTGCCGAGACTGTAAGGTGCAGCCGGCCCCCACCTCGCTGCCCCAGTCACACAAACAACGATTTATACACAGCTGGCTTCTGTCATCAGGGAGCAGGCACTTTTAGAACTCTCAGCATTTTACATTTCTCTGGGAGTTATTGCCTAACAGTAAAAAAAGTGCCTAAAATAGCAAAAGGAAATAGGACTGCCAGTGCTTCAGGGAAACACAGTGAGCTTGACACCAGCAGCGGTGTCCTTTTCCTATTGTTTTTCATTAGTGTTCTCTTGCCCTCAAATATTTATTTACGAAATGATTTCCCATCTCTACATCTGACGAGCATAAGATCACCAAGTTACTTCAAGTGAGAGCATGGACTTCATCATGAATGCTGACACTGTAGGAGGCTGAGGCAGGAGGATCACAAATTCAAGCCCACCTGGGCAACTTGGCAACTCAATGAGACCCTGTCTCAAAATCAAAATCAAAATAAGAAGGCTGGGGTGGTAGCTCAGGAGGAGGCCCTGGGTTTCATCCTTGGTACTGAAAAAAATTAGTTTGGGGATCTCTGCTCCAAAATTAAAATATAGCGAGGAATACTGTACACACTATAAACGGCCCACGACGCTTCCACTGACAGGAAGAAGTGAACAAAGTGAGCGGTGCTGTGCAGGTTACTCCCGGAAGCCGATTTCTGTTGGGTTTTCCTTTCCACCCCAGGCCGCTTTCATAGTAAACCCACTGCCGTCCCCGCGGGCCCCAGCCGGGCGCCACTTACTACTGCGCGCAGTCGATGAGCTGGTACTCGTTGGACCTCTCAAAGCACGCCTTCACCCCCTCGTCGTCCCACAGCTTCTTCACGTGGTCAAAGAACTCCTGCGTGAAAAGAGGCACAGGTGAGAACGCGCGTGCGTCACGGCCGGCCCCACGCTCAAGGCGAGGAAGTGCGCACGTGGGGGCGCGGAGGCCCGGAGGAGACCATCCGTGAGGACTGAGGTCATCTACGCCCACCAGCCGGGCGGGAATGTCCCTGTGCCCCAGCCGGAGGCAGAAGGTGGCGAACCCGAGCCCTGCCTTTCCGCGACACTTTGTAGGGCTGTGAGTTTTCCGGTACAGGACTGGGAATGCTATGTGTTGGGGTGACCTGTGAAGCGGGCTCACCGTGAGCGAGCATGAGGTCGCGGTGCTCCTACATCCCTGTGGCGAGCACCGCCGCTCTGCTTTCATTTACATCACTGACTTGACCACAGGAACTGCAGGCCAATTTGCGTGTGTGTGTGTGTGTGTGTGTGTGTGTGTGTGCGCATGCGTGCGCACACGCGTGACGCTCGGGTCAGGTCCACCCCGGCCGGCTCGCCTCCCGCGCCCAGACGTGGAAGCCGCCTGTGGAAGGCTGGCTGCTCCTGCGCTGCCCTCGCCTTCCTGACCCTGGCTCTGAGATCCTTGCTCTCCTGCCCCTCTGGGAGCCACCTCATTCCACCTGGAACGGGCCGACCACAGGTGGAAAGGGGACCTCACGGGACATAGCGAACTGCGTCCACCGCTGTGGTCGCTGACCACAGGAAGGGTCTCCGGACAGTGGCCACTTGGCTTACAGTGCATTTCCCAAACCCGCAGTTAGACCTGGCCATCTAGAACACACCATTCAATTTCCTCCCTCCCTGGGACACAGGGTGTCTAAGAAGCTCTGTCCTTTCTTCAGGGAGCTGGTGGACAGCAGCTTAAAGTCTGTGTGGGTTTGTCGGAGTGACTCGTTTGTTATTTATAGCTTCCATCCATCCCCAACTCTAATTCAGCAGCACAGGCCTCCCTGGGCATCAGGGCGGCTCCAGATGCCCTCAGACCAGAGGACGATACTTTGTATCAAACTGCACAGAACTTCCACAGAGCCTGCTGACATCCAGTGAGCTCTGAACTCTCAGGCTTCTTCTTATCACACCCGACAGACACAGTGGAAACTGCCTCATGAATAGGTGTCATCTTGCATAGCTCTGTGAATACCAACAAGTAAAGCCTGTGCATTTTGGTACAGATGTCCTTTTCCTTCTTAAACATCATGACTCTCACTTGGTTGAGTCCTCAGAAATAGAACTCGTGGGCACAGCTGACCAAATGCACGTTAGGGCTCTATTTAGGAACAGCTTTCTGACACTGGGCTTTACGAAAACAAACTGATTACAATCCCAGCGGTCCCAAGCCCGCACCTTTGTTAACAAGCAACAGCAACAATTAAACCACGTGAAGCAGGTCTCTGTGGGTCAGGGGGAGCCCGTGACGTCCCACCTGTGGTCTGGGGGCTGCACCCACACAGGATCAGCCTCCGGGCAGGCAGGCGGGTCCCCTTTCCAGATGATGAGATCAGGACACTAAGCACACAGCCGTGTTCATTTGCCTGCAAAGTGCTCAGGCCTGTTCGCAGAAGCGCGCTGGGTCCAGCCAGCCTCCGTGTCCTGGGCCTAGGACCCGAGGGGACGCACGTGCGTGTGTGGACTACACAGGCCACTCCCTCCTGCTGCCCAAGGCGCGAGGCCCGCTGCAGCTGTTCCCAGCATCACTGCAGCAGCCTTACAGGGCCGTTCCACACGCCAGGGAATTGCCTGCTCTGCAGCACACGCGGTCCCTCAGCCAGGCGTCCCCTCCTCCGACGCCCAGCCCTGCCCAGTCTGCACAACCGCCATGCATCGCTGTGGTTTGCCTCTTCTAGAAGTTTCGCAGCCGTAGAATCAGTCTTTTGTGTCTACCTTATCCCCCTTAGCACAGCACACGTCACATGCCTTTTCTTGCTCACACTGGCAGTTTGTTTTTTACATCAATTGGTGGACAAGATTGTGGTGCTGTGGATAGACCCTGGGGCCTTGTGTACGCTAAGTACATGCTCTGCCTCTGACCTACACCCTGGACCTTTCTGTCTCTCGACTGCTAAGTTCTATTCCTTGCACGAACACCAGATTTTGTTTATTAGCTCACTGGCCCATAGGCACTTGGGGCACCACTTGCAGTCCCCGACTTGTGGACAGAGCTGCTGAGGACATTCATGGGCAAATCTGTCGTGGACGTTTATTTTCATTTCTCTTGGGCAGGACTGGCACTGCGGGAGATGTAGTAAGTCCTGGAAGTAACTAACTTTCCTCTGAAGTGGCCATTCCATTTATGTGGCCAGGAGTCACAGCCAGGAGTTCCAGTTTCTCTTCCTCCTGATGTTTGGTTATTCTAGGGGGTTGGTTATCACATGGGACCACACTCTGGCTTTTGTTTGCATTCTTTAAGGACAATGTGGGACATTATTTCATGTGAGTGTTTGCCACCGGCATATCTTCTTTTTAAAGTATCTGTTCAAATCTTTTGTCTATTAAAATATTGGGTAGTGGCTGGTACCTGAGTTTTTTTTTTTTTTAATAAAAGTAAGACATTTTTTAGAAACCATGAACTGCCAGGAATGTAGCTCAGCAACATAGCACCTGCTTGGCAAGCAGGAGGCCCTGAGTTTGACTTGTGGTTCCAAAAGCCAAACCAAACCAAACCAAACCAAGACAAAACCAAACCCACTCCATGGACTGCTACTGCCAAGTATTATTCCCATGAATACTCTTGCTCTGGAACTTTCTTACCAACAGAGAACATAATCAAACTTACCCTGTACTAAAAATGAGAGATTTCTCTAACTTTTCTGTGTATACCCACACTTAATACTGTATTCCCAAACATACTTCAATTTTAAAGTCTCTTGGACTTAGTTCTACTTTTACTGGAAGCTCTTCATGTCTCCCAACCCCTTCTGGAATTGAGGAACCATCAGCACCTTTCCATCATCAGGAATGACCTTGTGTTTTTGAGTCTGGTATTCACTCTTCTTTTCGGCATCACAGTATAGAGGCGCCTGCATTCCTATTCTCACTGCAACACGGCTCTCAATAGCTGAGCCATGGAAACAGCCCACCTGCCTCACACTGATCAGTGGGTAAAGAAAGTGCAGAACACAACACAGTGGAGCCATAAAGAGGAACCGAATCCTGTCCTCTGTAGGAGAACGCGTGGAAGTGGAGATCATTGTGTTAAACAAAATAAGCCAGCCTTCGAAAGTCAAATATCACGTTTTTTCTCATATGTGAAAACCAAAAAATCAATAAGAAAATTAAAAAGTGACGTCAAAAATCATCTGGATTCAAATCTTTTGTCAGCTGTAGGTTTTGGAAATATTCTCTTGAACTATAGTTGCATTTAAAAGTATCTGCTGATAAAATTTTTAATTTTGATGTCAAATTAGCCATTTTTACTTTTAGGGTTTTTGTTTTGGTCAAAGAAATATTTGCCTGACCCAAAGTCAAAAGTGTTTTCTTCTAAAAATGTTACAGTTTCAGGTCTGGATCCATGGTGTTAACTTTGGGGTGCAGTGTAAGAAAAGCATCAGAGTGTATCTTCTTCCACAGGAACACCCTGCTTCTCAGCACACGTGGAGAGAAGAGCGCCTCCTCCACCAAGTCGCCTTGGTGCCTTCGCTGAAACTGACCATACAAATGTGGGTCTATGTAGAGACCCTCAGTTCTGTTCCAAAGATCTATGTGATAAGTCTTATGCCAATACCAGACTGTTGATTACTGTGCCTGTTTAGTAAGCGTTTAAATCAGGCAGGTTTCATTTTGCTTTGAACCAGGGCCTCGGGCATGCTGAATATGGTCTCACTCTGAGCTCATGCCCAGCCTCAGAATCAGTTGCTTTAAATCCTTTAATGTTGCTCTTTTCCCCCAATACCGTACTCTAGTCTTCTTATTTTTGCACACATTAGACTTAGCTTGTCAATTTCCATAAAAAAGCCTGCTGAAAATTTTGACAGGGATTACACTAAATCTCTAGGCCACTATGGGAAGAATCACCATCTTAGTCATGAGCATTGCAATCCATGAACATGGTATAACTATTTATGTCTTATTTAAATTTCCCGAGTAGTGATTTGTAGCTTTCAATGTATAGCTCTTTTACATATCTTTTATTAAATTCTTCTCAGATGAACATTTTTGGGATGTTATTTTGAGAACTATTTGGAGGTTCCAGCAGGGGAGCAAAGCTCCTCAAGTAGCCTTGACTGTGGAAATGGTCCTCCTCTGTCGGGGTGGTCTTTCTTCAGGAGGGACACATGTGGAGAGGGGAGGGAGGAAGGGGCACCTGCCCAGCCAGCCAGGTTAGCTGAATCAACCCAAGTGATCAGTGGGGGGACATGTTGCAGCCAGATCGCTTTCATGTCCTGGGGTATTGTCCTGAATGCACACATATTTTAAATTTTATTATTATTTTTTTTGGTAGTAGGGATTGAACTTGGGTCTTTGCACTTGTGAGACAGGTGGTGGCACCACCGAACTAAATCCCTGGTCCTTAAATTTTATATTTAGATATTTTCATAGATGATACATAGAAGAAAGGCACTTGACCTTTGTACTTGATCTTGTCTTCTGCAAGGCTGCTAATTTCACCTTAATTCTAGTAGTGTCAGAATTCCAGGTGGTCTAAAGTACAAGGTACTGAGCCAAGGGACACCCTTGGCCACTATGGCCAGTTTGCAAGCTTTTGGCTGTTTTTATTCCTCTTTTAAAGAGATAACCTTAAAACTCTATCTTTTGCTTTCAAATTATAATCTCACAAAGCAACTGTGATAAGTATAACATTTTAGCAATCAGACCCATAATGGAAAATTAAATAAACCTACCTTCTACTGATGGGAACACATAATTTTCCTTAGATATCTTTTTTCCAGGAAGTTAGTTTTTCAGTTAGTTTTTTGAGCCTTTTCATAACACTCCCACTCCAACACCTAAGATCCTCTCTGTAAAATCTTAATTTTCTGAAAATTGTGCAAATGCAGTATGCCAAAGAGACTCACAAGA